CGGAATCCGGGGCATCTGATACTTGACTATATACCAAATTCTTCTCGACAGTCTGTAACCAATGCAAAAAACGATTAGTCGCCGACCGTTTATTTGTCGGCGCAAACTCACTTGCTTCCTCCATCCAATCGAACACACTAGGTCTCCGAGAAGCTCTCATGCATGTACACAAATGCCCATGGTCTACTCAGCAAATTAGCTGAATTAAAACTTCGACACGCGTCAGCAGCTTGGGACCTCATCGCTGTCAACGAAACGTGGTTGCGCTGCGAGATAACCGATGCTGAGATTGCACTAACAGGCATGTCCGTTGTCCGGAAGGATCGAACCAGCAAAGGTGGTGGGGTAGCCCTCTAGTTCCTTAACAACATGCAATGCGAACCCATAAACGATTCGGAAACTGACGTACCTGACGCCATCTGGTGTAATTTCCGGCTGAGAGTGATCGATCTTGGCCTATTGGCTATTGTTTACCGCCCACAATCGACTACTCCTCTGATGGACTGCAATTTGATGGCTGCCTTGAGGCAAGTGATAAAGAGGAAGTACAGTCACATTCTAATCACCGGTGACTTCAACTTACATGCTCTAGAATTACAGGCCACACCAGGAGAGCAATTCAAAGCAGACCTGTAATATCTGGTTTCAGACTTCCCGCTTTATGGCCACGTCACTACGCCCACCAGATTCAGGGGAACTAACAGGCCATTCATATTGGACCGAATATTCACCAATGAAGAACTGATGGTCGAGAGAGTGATAACCGATACTCCTCTGGGCCGCAGCGATCATGCGACGCTAGTGTTTCATTATATGTGCTACGCTGATTATCCTAAAGAGCATGCCGAGGAATATCATGTCGTAAACAACTATGACAATGTGTCCGACCTCATTGGTGCAACAAGTTGGTCGTTCGTAGCTGAATTAACCCCTGAGGTGGCCTACATAGAATTCGTCAACATATTTACCAAGCTCGTGGCAAGCACCTCTGAAACCAAACTGTGCCGGAATAAAAGGATGAGGTCTTTCGTAAGGATCAGGACACGTAAATGCTTGGCATTAAGGGAGTTGGCATGGAACACCTACATAGCCTCTCCGAACGACCATATCTGGGATGTCTACACAATATGAAGAAACCACAGTGTCAAACTCGTCCAGGAGGATAAACGGAAGAACTAACAAGGTCTAGTAGAAACGTTTTATTCCAATCCCAAACTACTATACAGACAGGTAAACAAATTGCGCTGTGTTAAGCGCGGTATTCCTGCTCTGCACACAGCATGCGGGTTAGTCCAAACCAAACAAGAGGCGGCCAACTTTCTTGGACAACAATTTGGCCATACCTTCCAAAGCGTGCAACCATCATACACCCTGCCTAAGGAGATAACGCCGCCATCAGGGCTTAATCACATATCGTTCACCACGGCAGCTGTACTGAAGAGGCTGATGTCTCTGCGCGAGTTCAGCTCCCCGGGTGCGGACGGCATTCGCCCGAAGGCGTTGAAAGTTGCTGACATGAGTTTGGTAGGACCATTAGCAATTTTCTTTCAACGATGCCTGAACGAGATGCACGTCCCCACGATGTGGAAGCACGGAATCATCACGCCAATCTAAAAAAGTAATAGCCGCGCTAAACCAACTAATTAGCGCCCGGTAACACTACTTCCTGTGCTCTCCAGGGTGATGGAGTCTATTGTAGCTGAGGCTTTGATTGGGTACCTGGGGAACAGCAAAATTCTCGTTCTGGGGCAACACAGATTTCGTCAAAATCGGTCCTGTACCACTAATCTGTTGATTGCTCGTGCAAGTTGGACGGAATCTGTTGACGCTGGTGTAGGAGACGACGCGGCCTACTTGGATTTCTCAAAGGCGTTCGACAGTATAGACCATCGCATTCTCCTCCACAAACTCCAGAAATATTGAATCGGCGATCCTGTTCTGGGCTGGATAGGAGACTTTCTCGTGCAACGTCACCTGAATGTGAGGGTTAGAAGCAACCTATCAGAATCCATCGAAGTTCAGTGTGGCGTACCTCAAGGCTCGGTACTTGGACCCCGCCTGTTCCTGGTTTTCAGAAATGATCTCGCGAGTGTGCTATCTTCTAACTGTTCGCTATTTGCTGATAACCTAAAGGTATGGTTCTATGACGCACTATAGCTGCAGTGGAGGATCACACAGCATTACAGGAGGACCTGGACAAAGCATACAACTGGTCCATCGAGAACATGCTGCATTTCAATGTCACCAAGTGCAAAGTTCTCAGCATACGGCACAAAAGTATGCACAACTACCGCCTAGGACCGCAAATTCTACAGCGGGCTTCTCACGAATGCGATCTCGGCGTGATAGTTCAAGATGACCTCGGTTGTTCGAGGCAGGCTGAAAATGCAGCTAAGAAAGCGAATCAGTACCTCGGCCTACTTCGCAGAGCCTTCGGGAAGTTTGATCCTTCAGTCTTTCCAAAAATGCATAGTGCGTACGTGAGGCCGCAAGCGGAATACGCTATTCAAGCGTGGCAACCCTGGCTCAAGCACCATCTCACCGCACTCGATACTGCACAACGTAGGACAACGAAGAGCGTCAGAGGTTGGACCAGCCTCCCTACCCACATAGGCTGAAGACTCTCAAAATATACAGTGGACCTTATGAGCGTCTAAGAGGCGGTCATAATAGTGTAACTGATGTTGAGAAACCCTAAGCACCCATGCCATTCCCTTCTGATACTCAGTCAAAACACCTCGCTAAGCGGTCAGCAGTTTAAGCTGGTCACGCAGTACAGCCGACTGGAATGTCGGCGAAACTATTTCTCCCTTCGAGTGGCACAGCCTTGGAACGCCCTCCCGGAACATGTACTTAATGTAACCACCCTATCCCATTTCAAAAAACACCTTGACAATACTCTGTCACATTTAAACGAGATGCTAAAGCCCATTACCACCTGATACTGGCACTAATGCACAACAGACAGGGGATAGTGCCATAACCCTACTCGAGAATGAGTCGCTCCAAACACCTTGCACGAAATTTGATAAACGCTACTATACTATAGAAACTGGATTTCTATATCCTGTCGACCCAAGATAGTTGCACACGAGTAAGCGTTGTCCTTGCTATCTTTTTTATTTTTCTCGCCTATTATGTGATCAATAACCGCTCCCCTTATTGTTTTGTGTGCGTACATTCTCATTTCAAACTCCCTTTATAAGACAGTGCTGTTAAATATGTAATCGCCCCAACTGACGACCACAATCGCTTGGTCTATCTTTTCTCACTCCAAACACCCCACGGGACATGTCAAGCACCTGTTTTTTTACCCGTTATATATCATTGTTCATTGTTCATCGAAAACATGCTGCATTTCAACACCACCTAGTGCAAAATTCTGAGTATACGTCATCAGAATACTCACAACTAAGGGCTGGAGTTACAAATTCAACGATGCGCTTCTCATGTGCGATCTTGGCGTACTCGTCCAAGGAGACCTTGGGTGTTTGAGGCAGGCTGAAAAGGCATCAAAGCAAGCAAACCAGCCCTTCGGACTTCTTCGTAGAGCGTTAGGGAAGTTCGATGTCTCAATGTTTCCGAAAATGCTTGGCGCTTAGGTAAGGCCGCACACGGAATATGCTAGCCAAGGGTGACAGCCCTAGCAGAAGCACCACCTCACCGCAATTGTTACTGCACAACACAGGGTGACAAAGAACACCAGAGGTTTGTCTCGCCCTCCTGGCCCACTCAGATTGAAAATTCTCAATACGTACAGCGGCCGTTATCGACGTCCACGGGGAGATGTCATAATGGTGTATCAGAACCTGAGAAATCCAAACCACACTTGTCAATCTGTTCTGAAACCCAGTCAAAACACAGCTCTAAGGGGTCATCCGTTTAAGTTGGCCACTCAGTATAGCCGACTGGAATGTCAGCGCAAAGTTTTCTCCCTCCGTATCACAGCCCCGGAACGCTGTTCCGCATGTAATAAATGCCCCCATCTTAACACTATTCAATTAACGCCTTGAAGATAGTGCTACGCATTTACACTAGGTGATATAGGCTATGACAATCAGATGATGGCATTAGTGCAAAACTGACAGTCGACGGTGTCATAACCATCCTAAACTCCAGGCAGGAATACTGTTGGAGAGTCACGTAGCTCACACGAGTTATTAGACACCGATTTTTTGTAATTTTTTATTTTTTGCCCTCACCATCCTACAGGATATGTCAAGCTTTGGCTTTTATACCCATCATAAACCATTGCTCAATTGCCGCATTGCATGGCACTCACGATGGAACGTTCACAATCATTTATAAACCGTATAAAATTCATGGTGGCTCTAGGCTGACTGGGCGCCTGCGACGAGACCCATTCGGATCAAATTGTGCTCCCCAAGAGTCGGACTAGACATACTTTCAACCTGCCTACAGACCGTGACCCGATTGATTGCTGCTGAGCGATATTCATTCAGTTTTGGGCTACACCCTGTCATGTGTAGCGCAAAGAACTAAACGATAAGAAACGCATAAAGCAGATCGCGTGGTGTGAACAGTCTGGGATGCTTCATTCATCTGGCAGTAAAGTGTGACGGTCTAGGGTCAGGGATGCTGTAGCTACTAAAGAGAAATCAAAGGGTGTAACCAATGTGAGTTTTAGGCTTAAACAGTTACACAACAGAGCCGTCGATTCGAGAGAACACTGTTACCTTATTGGTTATGAGAATGAAATCGTAAGCTGTCTTGCTTGCATGTGGTAAACATTAACAGTCACAAGTGGTACAGAGTTCCATAGACAGGTCACAAAAGAGAGCCAAGCAGAAGTTTACCAATCATAAACTCCGAGTTGACATTGCACAGATAGTCGGGCCGCTACTCTAAACTACGCCAAGATTTGAATGCAAGACAAGTATTTATTGCAAAGGGTAACTTAAAGTTATGCTTCGAAGTGCCATTCTAAACTAATCAAGCGTCAAGAAAGGCAGAATTGGAGGTAAAATAACTGGACTCACGGCATGGCTTGATGACAATTTGATGTTGCCGCACACACCTGCAGCCGATTCTCGTCGATTTTTGAAGCACGTGTTTCTGACTACCGTTCACACACAACTCAATTGGCTTGAGAACTAGGTGACGGCCACAATCTGCAAAAGTTGGAATTCCGCGAAAGTGAACAGTTCTTGTATAGGCTGCACTTATATAGGTAAGAAAGCCTTATCAATGGTTGGTCATTAAGCTTTGGTACCGGCATTAATCGCAAAAATCATTCATCTGCATCTTTTAGTTATGAGGAGTAAATTAAGACTAACGCGTTCTGTCTTGTAACTTGGTTGGTTATCCATACGACACACTAAGGATTATTCCATAATGAGAGTCTGGGTATGTGATGAGGTCCCGGTTGCTCTCCCTGTAACTAGGACATAGTACATGATTGTTTGCAAAAATTACGGCCTACCAACCCCAGACTGAGAAAACAGGTTGGTTTATTTGTAACTGTTGTCGCACAGTCGACAGGAATGTAGGGTAAACTTTATAATGACTGCATTCCTACAGGAGCAAAATGGACGAGTGCCACCAGGAAATTTAGCTGCGGCCGCACAGCGCGAGATTACCATCAGAAATAACGTTGTGGCACAAAGAGACGACCATCGAAATGGCGGAGACAAAATGCTAACTCGCATGATAGGAACTGAAACTTTCGCTGCGTTTTATGACACCCATAGCTACGGTATCATTAAAGGTCAGGGGGTGCACGTCAAAATATGGGCGCTGTGTGTTGTCGGGACATCGAAACGATGGACGGGTGACCATGTCCCAGAAGCACAATAAACACTACAGATTTCTCTATTCCCCCAGTTAGCGAGTAATTAGTCCAACATGCAGTTGTGTACTGTGCACGGGAATTGCAACGATGCACAAATCTCCACAACACTTTCATAAATGTAGCTTTCTAGGCAGTGAAACGACTGAACTTACTACGAGACACTGGTTAATGCGTATGCTGGGTTAGTTGGGTGAGTTGTCTCATTTAGATCAGTAGTATACGCGCTAGTAACAGTTAGGTGCCTCTCAGGCTCACCAACTACGATTTATATGCGATTTTAGACAGAAATCTGTAGTCAGTGTACCAGTAAGGACAGATTTATGGAATTTGCTACTTCGGTTTCACGAGAAATTTCGGTACCGTGTCAACCCAAATTCGCCGTCTTGAGTGCAAATGCTTACAGTCTCTGTCTATTCGTCTACTGAGTCTTTGTGAACTTATTGCAGTTGTACTTCACCGTCTGTGACGCAGCGGTGGAATTATGAAGATAGATGACACAGACTTTTTGCTCGGATATTCAGCGCATGTGATCCGCAGTTTTTCGCAATTAGATTAGCCTAATGGTTGCGAGCTGTTTTGTCCTACCGCTTCCGCCCAAAATTGCTGATTTCATAGTCTACGTAAGCTCACCACACTCGGGATTTAAAAGAAATAGAGGCGCAGACGTCGGTTGCTTACCAATGGGCTTCACAGCTTCGTGTACGGTGGGTCTGCAGTGACCATCTTGTAGCAACCAGTCAACTTTTCTGTGAATCACTGCGCCCTGTCGCGGATCACAATGGCGACGAACTGGTGTGACAACGTTTGGTGATGTAGCGGGACAACAACAAGCCCTTGTGAGTCGGCGGACAGTTAACCGGCACGAGCAATTCTGAGCAATTTCTACGGCGAATTCGAGTATTTTCTGTTGACAAGGTCCTCCGGAGCCGCACGCTTGTATGTGCCTTACCCGATCGGGATGGACAGGGGAACGTTGGACCCGAGAGCCCAAGAACGGACGAAATAGAGTCGATGGCACACGACAGCCGACACGCTCTGCATGCTTTAAGGTGGTGTTGACACATGTGCCCCTTGAAGTTAGGCTAAATGAAGTAGTCGTAACTTCACGGATTCCGTGACTCAAGCATCTACAAAGGGACCAAATTATTTTGAAAAAGCATTATTATTATTATTACTGTCATTAGTATTATTACTTTCCTCCAGCGACGAAGACATAAAAATGACCGCAAATTATAGGCAGTGGATAAAGCTGCATGTTAACTCCAGTAGCCAGTATACAAACGGCGCTAAAACCGTCGTATGCTAGATAATCGGGCCATTTTGACTACATAAAAATGTTTTCGTTGCGCTGCACCTTATTTTATTAAGAAGAATGAGACAGCGAGAACACAAGCATTCTAGAATCGGGAAATCTTTAGACAAGTAATATCATATATCATACCGTGTCTTGATAATTTGACTTGGGCACCGACATCTTGCAGGAAGACGCCACAGACGCTTCAGACAGCGACATCCCTTCGATTCGTATTCACTGAATATTTCATAATATAGTCCAGTGGCCGGATTGCATGCCGTTCGTTCAACACGCTGCGGCCCAATGGGATTGCAAGTTGGTCTCCAGATTCGCCGCGTTACATGCGGCACGCAGCGTGTCCGGTCCCCAGAGAGCTCGTAATTTGTGACCGTCTGCGTAAGTACACCTCGGTGTCTGAAATAGAAGAATGGTTCATGTTAATATAAAAACGAAGGTGCCACACAGAAGCGGGAGCCGAAGTGATGCATAGCGCTAACCCTCAGTTATGTAAAACGTCAGGTATACAAACGTGTGGAGGCCTGAACGAGCAGGGGAAAAAAAGTTACATAAAGAGTTAATACTGATTTTTGCAAATTATTCAGTAAGGAAACGTTGCCCCTCTCATGCGCATACATAAGCCACTTGGTAGTGTCTTATGTTGATTTCAACTACACCTATAAAGGTCTTTTCTGTATTGTGTTTGATGTTGGTGGATCCGATGGACTAACTTTGGAGACCATTTAAATCGGACCATTCGTAGCAGTTGGTGGAGTCTCTACATTTTCCGAAAAGCGTAATCTGTCGTTTACGGTAGACTGGCCAATACGTGTGAATGAATTTTGGAGGGCCGTGCTCCAACGGCAATGACAACACTAAGACGGGAGACAAAACAATCAGGAAGCAGTGCGCGTGTTCGAAGGCAAGCAGCTCACCTGTCACATGTTACCCGGCGTTCCGCTTTCATGCAATGACAAACGCGGACGGTCTCCTCGACAGGATTCGCCACACAGCGGCATCCATCATTGGTGCTAGAGAGAACTCGATCAATGCGGACGGATGCATGACGCTGAGGATCGAATCGGCAGGTGACCGCGCTGATCAGTTCTTTCTTGGAACAATCCACCGGGCGTTGATCGACTACTGTGTTGAGTCGAACACAAGGCGATCCCACTTTGGACATCCTCCATCTAGTTGTCGTAGTCTCAATCACAAACAGATCGGGTCCCGACTTTGTGCAGCGGATCATGATAGTGGGTGCAGGGCAAGCTATACGGAAAATGTAAAAATACCGTTTAACTCAGCCGAAAAATCACTTCACTACACAATCGTTCCGGATGAAAACGTTCTGATGGCATGTCACAAATAAAACGAACGGAGAAATTGTGGAAAGGGAGATAAGAAAAAGTGAGACTAACATTTCACAAACCATATCAGGCACATTCTATCGTGTTGGAGAACGCAATAAAACAAAGAGGTGAGAGAGAGATTGGATTTAATTTTTAACCCTCATTCACAATTGTCTGCAAGAGCTGATCGAAGGTGCAGTCGGGCGAAAAGGAAAAGCATCAGTGTACATCGGTCAGGCCTTAATATTCTACTTACTTCTGTTTTCGAAAATGACTTGTGTCTGAGGCACACACTTGCATCCTTCAAAAATGTTGCGTCTCTTCTCCACGCGAATCAGTCCGTTGGGTAGTTCGGTTTGCAGCAAGCGTTCGTTCTGTGGGCACTCTGATCGAAACAAAGAAACAATTGAAGAAGACAGTTAAGGCAGTTCCTAGTTAAGAAGTATGTGGTTCTCATCCCGTCCAATGCTCATTACCAGACATTTGCGGTGAACCGTTGCCCTCTGAAAAAACAATTAATACCCGATCGTAATTAGTCACAGCAATTTAGAAATAGTCCATGATTTGCGGCCCTTTAGATGGAACGAGCTTGTGTTTGATGACGGTCAAGCCCTACGCGAAAGGAACTGTTGCATGAACTGATTGCTAATATTCCCTTGTACAATCATTTCACCACGCACACTAGATTCAGGATAGCAAACAAACCGTCCATAATGGACCTTGTGCTCATGAATGAAGAGCCCATGATTGACAAGTTATTGATTGATAGTTCATTAGGTCTCAGTGGCCAAGTAGTAATAACTTTTGACTATGTGTGTTATGCAGAGTATCCATCTGAACACTCGGAACCAACTCATACAATCACACGCTACCACGTATCAAAAGAACTCGCCGACGCAGCTGCTTGGGAATTCTCGAACAACAGTCGCTTGACAACGTTTGGACAGAATACAATGAGAAACTCAGCAACATCGTCAACAGAGCATCAGAGATCAAACAGGCCCTTAAAACCGCACTGACGAGGTTGCTAAGCTTGGCAACAAAAAGTCTGCATACTAATAATTCAGGTCGGAGAGCAGTGCAAAACATGCATTCAAAGTTATCAACAGGCAAAATATTCCGCGCTTGCTTCGATTTGCTGAGGTTTCCGCCATCAAATAACTGAGGCGAAACGTCTTCAAGCAGCTCGACTTTGTGACCAGCTTCACCTTGCCTTACTAAGGCGTGTTTCTCATCATTACAGTAGATGATATTGAATTTCTAGATGCCAAAGATTGACTGTGTTAGGGATCCCCTTTCAATTGCATTATTTTAATCCTTCTACTATTTGTCTGTAACCGGCTGTTTGAGAAGACGAAATAATTTGAATTCTTGTGGTAGTACTAGTGTTAGCAATAATCTAACGAATAGACATAGAGCCAAAAAAATCATATCAGTCGCTGGAAGAATACAGGTTTAATCGACGCATCATCCTCATGATAAATTAATTAAAGGTGAGCAATAGGCTTCGGCTACAGTGCCACAAGAAGAACGGAACACGTTTGTTATTCTCTGTCATATTTTCACACGCCATTTCACTTTTTGGCTTTTTCAATGGTTAGGCCTTAAGCATCTAAATCTAAACAAATATGTACACAGATCTTCCACTGGTTTGGACTGAGAAACATATCCTAAAGTGTTTCCAGCCATCGGTACTCCTCGCCCTTCGGTCCCCAACCAGGCGGATATGTGGATCCAACGGTGGCAAGACGTGAAGTCGATTTCATATGCTGTCACCAAGTGGATGGTCTCTACCAGCCAAGTCCTGCACGAGCGAGAAGGGCGCAATAAGACAAACGCTCAGGTGACACAAGCAGCATCTGACCGAGTAATTTTAACAGGCGGTCATGAGGGGAAAGTGTCATAAAGAGCGTGGAATTGAGCAGTCATCCTTCTTTGAAAAAGGCTACAAGGTCACAGGTGACAGCGTTGGTATGTTTGGAACGATTCGAGCTAATGGAGGGGAGGTGCCAACGGGTTGTTCAGTTCATGTATTATGAAGGACACACTGACATCCCACCAGCGCAAAATGAATAAAATGGTTTGCTTTTCTGTTACATGTATACGAGTAACTCTTCCATTCAGCACTGTGGAAAGAAGCATGTGACTGTATTGTTTTACAGCTCCGAGAAGTATGGGGTAGATACATTCAACCAAATGGCAAAAGCACACACCCTGTCAAGTGGTCATTTCGACAACGGTCTGTCACTGGATAATGTGTGATAGTGTCTCCGAAAATAAATTATCCCGCCGCTCGCATCTGCTGGGTCTTTCGAAAGAACTGAGTGAACCCATACATCAGACAAGGGACGTGAAAACTACATACATACCGAACACTTCATCCCAGTCGGAAAGTCATGAGGCAAGTAGACCTCGGCAGTGTCACATCGGTCAAAGAACCAGTGGTCAGTATGTGAAAAAAGAGTTTGTTTCGCATGTGGACAAATTGAGAGAGTTATCACCGGTTTTATGTGTAAATCTGAGTACGTAAGTACAAGTATTTTTAAGTTACACATATTTTTACACCTTGGTTTTAATATAGGTGTTAAAAGATTTAGAAATTGGTTACAAGAAACGACTACAGTAACGGGACCATTTGCACCATTTTTGGGTGCTATAGGGGGTGGTGTTAAAGAGGTAGTGAGGAGCCGGATATGGAAACAAAAACTGGTAGTTCAAGTTGTTCAGGTGGTAGTCGAACTTTTCGTCGAGCTTCGCAATTTTCTTGTATATGTTGCAGCACCAACAAAGTTGCAATCTCATCTAGGCTTCCCTACACCACGGTACTACACGCGACACAACAGCAACCTGATGATGTAACATCGATTGGTTATGAAACTTTTGCAAGAAAACAAACAAGTTCAGCAACCGGTTCGACCACCAGTAGCAAAGAGCTTCGAGGACTTTTAAGGACGAGATTGTAATACTCCTTGACCCCTTGGTTCATTGGCCTAGGCGACTACCTCGTGGAAGGAGGGTCTGGATTCGATAGGAAAGCCTGCTGTTGATAAACTAAGACGAATTTATCTTCCATTGCATTTTAGGCCGCCCAGCGGCTCCCTGAGTTCATCTGCATGTGACGGATTTCTGTAGAAAAAGTAATTACAAAATCTGGGCATCCACTAGGGCTACGTCTTACTAGACACCGCAGTACCGCAGCAGTACCCAACTTCAAACTCAATTGCAAGCGGCAAGACTTGGCCAAAGCGTCAGCTGGCGTTGTAGGTACAATTGATAAGTAAAACTTTGCTTACGGTAGTATACCATGAGGGGTGCGCAACGAAATTGAAGTTGCTTATTTAACCAGTTTAAGACATGAGCAAAGCGAAAGGAATTCTAGTGTACTTAAACTCGGTTCGAAGTTGGAACGATTTTAGCCTACTGTAAGGAGTCTGTAGTCGCAACCACAGATAACGACGGTTCAGCAAATGTCGGGCAGAAAATACAATGGAACAATGGTTTATAACTGGTAAAAAAGCACTGAACTAACATGCCCCCCGTTGGTTGGTAACAGAAAAATAGTAAAATTCAACTGTTACATAAGTGGACCAAATAAAATACGCATCGGTGAAGCGATAGAGTATTGGCATACAAGAGGGTTGTGAGTGAGATAGTAAGTACAAACAACAAGAAATAACAAGATGTTTTGGTTAATACTCATTGCAACTAACAAGTAGATTGCTCGCCATTGGTACAGATTTACGTGCCTCAATGTGGGCCATAATTCCATATAGTTAGCAAGCATATATCCAGAATACCCCATCATGTAACCAAACGTAGAGCGTCCAAATCGATAACCAATCGTTTTTGGGAAACAGCTAAGGTGAGGGCACAGACAATAGAGTTTGAAAGCGTCTTCCGTGATGGCAGATTCGGATGGGGAAATAAATTCATAGACAATCTAGACGAATGTGTTGTTGACTAGATTTCAGGCTATTGACTCTGAGGATGGCATTTAGGCTGTATAAATAAGTGGCGGCAAAACGACTGGGGCAGATGGATTTTGGTAAATTAATATATGTGGTCTTCACGCAACCACATGTAGGGTTCACTGAACAATCCGAATGTCTTCAGACCATTTGGATATGGAAATTGTTTAACCCCTCAACAAATTTACTTATATATAGTTAGCGGCATCCGGTTTCTGATTTGTCTATCACTGTGGCCAGCCACAGGCCTGAGCCTACAGAGGTACCATGGGTGGCTTGCGCTCCACCACTAACAGTTCCATCCACACACCCCATATCCAGTGTAAACCCGAAGGAATAAGACCGGGAGGCATGCGGATGGGAGCCACGTTTCATCAACGGAGTCGGCCCACACTCCTTCACAGGCAAACACAAGCACGCTGTATTTGGGGAATCAAGTGCACACAAGTCGGTGGTTGGACCGTAGTCCGCTCCACACTGAGTGCATGGAACCACTCTTTGATTCTAACACGGCCACAAGAACCGTGCACCCCGTTCCCTCCAGCGACGACCGACTGTCTCCTGGAGCCAGTATGGACGAGGTAGTGGGTAATAGACAGGTAGGAGCCTTGTCAACATGCATATCATGCACAGCCAAACCTGGGATATCAAGCAACAGCCGATCACTTGAAATAACATTGTCAAATAAAGTATATCTGTTAAGCATACGGCTATGCAAACATAATACTTTGCTAAATTAACATAAAAAGTAAGTTGATTAGCAATGAATCCGCGAATAGTTGGACAAAATGTCTATATATCCTTTGTGGAGGGAATTCAGATGCTATTTTATTTTCGGGAGGAATTCAAATCACCGAAAGTTCCAGTTATTTCCATTTTTGACCAATTTAGGCTCAATGATACGGATGTGTGCAAATGCATGTGTTACAAGAATGGCGACTGTTTCTCGGGGAGTCAAAGGATGATAGATGTGCACGCGGAGCGTGTGAATAACGGCATAAAGAGATCAATATCAAATACCGCACAGCACCGTGGAACAGATATCACATAAAACGAAATCTGAAACAAATGGCGGTCGTGTAAATCCCTTTGAAACTTCCCATTGTCAGCAAGCTCTTATCAGGTGCAACTGGTATACATCGATACGAGCTATGGGCTATCACGTACCTACAGTTTTAACGTGGAACCTGTCTTGTCGGAAGCATTTGCCATCATACAAGCGGAACACTCTCAATCCGAATTCCAATATGCCCTTCTCGGGGTAGCATTGCGAGCCAAGTAGTTGTGGCTTGGGACAGCAACATGCCTGCTGATAGAGCCGGTATCGTGGTTGGCAGTATCCGTCTGCTGTTGGCACATGACGCCTCCAAAGTGTACGCCGGATGCAATCGGATCTGCAAGCCCCTTTACGAATTAGCACTGGTTGCGTTTGACAACCTGGAAAATAAGCCAAGAGAAGGAGGAACACTGTGGATTCAAACCAGTCAATAGAACACCTAGTATGCATAAACTATCCAGAGAACTAAATGACTTACGACATCTACGCCGGCGCACACGTAGTTTCATTCTTTGCTTGCAGTCTGCGATGATTGGGATGGTCTCCAAAATACGCTCCACTCCGGTTTTCGGATTGCATCGTGCCAACGTTTCAGGTTTTCGCAGAACTTGCATCGATTAGAGCAATGATTACAATGACCGAGTGAGCGCAACAAGGAAATGGTTTGTTTGAATAGGTCACAGGACAGAAAGAGCGGAAAGAAAAAAGAACGATTCGATGATCATTCAAATAACTACACACTGCATAGGAACCAAGAGGCAATGCCAGTTGTGAGCATGAAACTGAGCACTACGGGCTTATACATATGAGGAGTTACGCAATGTTTGCATCATACAGTGTGTTTGGGTAATCATTTCTTATATATAGCATGCTTTTCAGTGTGCATGGCATTTTGATCAATTCAGTCACTGAGTCGGACTTACCCACAGGTTTTATAACTCTTGATATCACTGTACGAATGCAGTTCTTTCCATCGGACGATGACCGGCGCTGTGTATGAAGTATTTCTCGCAGGTGGTCATCTACACAACGCCTCTCAATTCTGTTGTCAGGCTGGCAGGCTGAGGGTGAGGGAATACAGGACAACACACATTTGGACATGTGACAAACTTCGGTAGGCTGGTGCGTTGCTGAGGCCATTTGAGCTGTGTGTTCCGAATACATGGTTAGGTGAAGTATAACAACTAATATTCTGAGCGCTAGTCGAACATGGTAGGTTTGCTCAATCATAGCGACGCCCTGCTACCGCCGGTAAGCTCACTATATACATGCAGTTCGCAGTCGAGTGTGATCTGACCACGTTGATAGACCTTGCGTAAGGTTGAAAAGATCCGATCATATTCAACTCTTGTCTCTCTCCCACTTTTGCCTTCACACACCGTACGGCTGTAGTGTCAAAGAGCCATGGATAACTGCTGAACTAAATATTTTCAAGTAGGGTTGACAATGTATGGTAGCGATAGAAATACATCACACCTAGACACAGTCAGGCGCCCAGAAAAGCTCTGCAGGGCCGGTTCATCACTTCAGGAACAGACAGCAGTTCGTATTCGATTTGACCACTGTGGGGCTCGGACCCGCAACTCGATTGTTGCTAGGCTGTGCTTAAGACCACTGAGCTACGGAGTACGGCAAGGAATCTTGTGACTACGTTTAGAGATGTGATATAACGCAGCGCACTATCCACACACTTGTACGTTATTACCATGCAGAGGACAGGGTTGCCCCCTCACCAGGCGACGGGTTCAGTTCTTCTTTGCCAGTTGAAACACTGAAATAGTCTTAGGCCTACCATGCTTCAACTTACAGGTGGGCATACATAAGTAGATCCAGGAAATACTATTCATAGGACAACAAAGGGCATCACTGGGACTAGTTGTAACTCACAGCACATCTCATCTTCGATAACTCGCAAAATGATACATTTGCATCCCTCTCGTCGGAAGACGGCCCAAACTGTTTTACGAAATTGGTCCTCCCCGTACGTTGTTGGCTTTGGGCGACAAGATCCTTTGTGAATCAGCTTGCGTTCTGTCGGGCATTGGACTCTTATTTTCTGAAGCAGTCTTTTCGTTTTACATAGACACTGGTCTTTCGA